GATGAACCTTGAAATATAATCTAGGGCAGTGGTCGGAAAGCTGCGGCTCTTTGGCCCCCTGAGTGTGGCTCTTCCACAAAATACCGACTTCTGCGCGTGGGCCACGAAGTTTCAGTCGCACTGTACGTGCGCGCCCGCACGTGGTATTTTGTGGAAGAGCCACACTGAAGGGGCCCAAGAGCCGCATGTGGCTCACGAGCCGCAGTTTGCCGACCAGGGGTCTGGGTGATAAAGACACACTGGCCACTGTGAGCAAACAGCGCCCCCTGCTCTCAGGCACAGGGGGAAGGCCGCTGCCATTCAGCTCAGCAGGTGGTGGTTTCCTGGTTCCAAGCAAAGAGGTGCCAGGTCGGGGCACAGCACTGCAGAGACCGCCCTGGCCTGGGCTCTGCCACCCTGGCCTCTGAAGGTCCCGGGCTCCCGTTCCCAGTCCAGGGCCTCGGTGCAGCCTAAGAGAAGCCTCTCCTCTCCCTGTGGGCCTGGAACACGCTCGTGCCGAGCCGTGGCCGTGGAGCAGATGGGTCACCATGGCCCCATCCAGCCTTGCTGACGGTCTCCAGGGAGCCAGGACGGAGTCGGGCGGGAGTGAACTCACACGTCATCACAGCGTGTCTCCTCCGCCAGAACCTTCAGTTTCTTCCCCAAAGCAGTCTTTCCCACCAACAGGCAGTGGGTCAAATACGTTTTAACTTGCCTCCCAGCTGCCGTCCGATGGGTATGAGAGAGCGCATTAAGATGGGTAAAAGCAAAACAGACTGACAGCAAAATCTAGACGGTTCTGAGAACCCACAGCATGGAGCACCTGCTCTCTCAAGTGCACCAAGTGCGCGTTTCAATAGTGCGTGACGTTAGTCAGACATGCCGGACAGGCCCGCCTCACAGAGGTCCCCCAGCCTTCCTGGAGAGCTTGCGTCTCCTCTCCGCCTTCCTGGAGGCAGCCCCGTAAGCAGGAAAGAGAGCAGGCTTTGTAGCCAAGACAGGCCTGTGTCTGAGGCTCACTACTCCACTCAGTGGTGAGTCTACTAAGCTCACCTGTACGCTCCCAGCCTCAGCTGCCTGTCCGTCTCTAACGCTCTACCATAGAGGATGCTGCCCTGGGCGCCCAGCCCTGGGCTCTGCAGAGGCCGCACAAGGAGCTCTGTGCCCAGCTGCACGGCCTCAGCATGGCCACGGAAGCGCCCTCCCTGCCACCAGCCCTGGTGCCTGCCCGGCAGCGCAGGGGCACTTACAGCTCCTTTAAGGGCGGTCCCTGCAGGAAGCAGGCGCTGTGCACCTCCGTGAGGTTGTTCCAGCTCAGGTCCAGCACCTCCAGCGCCAGGTAGGCCCTCAGCTGGCGCCCCTCCACGCTGCGGATCTTGTTGTGCTGCCTGAAACACACGGAGGACATGACTCAAGCATGTCTTTCTGCACAGAAACAATTGTTTTCCCCACCACTTCGTTTAGACTCATTTTTTCCTGTTTTGCCCTCAAAAAATTACAAATGCAGTGACACTCCAGGTGCCACCCCTTCTCCTCCCTCCCCTCGAGCTGTCACCGGCTGGGCGGGTGCTAGACAGAGCACCCCCTTCTGTCTGGGCGGGTGCCAGACAGAGCACCCAAGTCTGTCCGAGTTCCAAGCCCAGGCTGCTCCCTCCAGGGCGAGAACAGAGGGGGACACTTCAGACACGTGCAGAGTGCATGGCATGACCAGAACCTGGGCTCGCCGATGCCCTCCCTCAGCGGGCGCCCAGTGCGACCAGCCAGTTCCCAGTGCTTCCCATCTCGAACCTTCTGACCCTCATCCAGCCCCACCACGTACAGGACTGCAGGCACTGAGCCCACAGCCAGTTAATCCATCTCAACACGTGACTACATTCCTCACACTTTACCAATACCTACCATGTGCCAGGCGTGCAGACAGGCACAAGGGATTTAAAAAAAGAAAGAAAGACAAAATCTCCCCCAGGGAGACCAGGAACTTGGTGCTGGATCTGACAAGACTGAATCCCCTGACCTCTGTCGCTAGCCCTCGGTCACTCTGTTCCTGGACTGGAAATGTGAGCTCAGCATCTCAACCTGGAGCACACAGGGCCCTGTGATGCACCTGCGGCTGCCACCTCCCATTTGCCTCTGTGTTGCCGCCACCACTCACCCGGCCCGTGACCCAATTCCCTCCTCATCCTAGGGATGCGGGTCACCCACCCTGACCCGCACGGAAGCACGGGCAGACGTTAGCTAAGGAATCCGTGTTGCACCCCCTCCAAGAAAGGCGTCTTACCGCAGTGGTTTAAACATACCTTTCATCCTGCTTCTGACAAAGCTACAGTCTAATCCACAAGCCAGTGTTTATTAATCAGGAGAAAGACAACCCACGGTAAGCAAGGCTGGAGGGAGCGGCCCGTGCATGTGCCTGGCCGTCTCGTCACCGCAGCCTCATCGAAGGTCGGATTCAGACACCAGCGTGATGGGGGCAGCACTGGCTCTGGGTCCCATCACCCCCCGGGCCAGTCTGGAGTCAGCAGTGTCAGGGTCTGCAGCCATCAGACATTCCCCCCCACACACAGTGAGCCAGGCGTTGCTTACCAAGTGGCATCTCTTTTAAACAAACACTTGCCCAAATCCGTTCCAGCAGCGTGAACAAGGCCCTCTTCCCAGAAGCTCGGGGCCTCCCCCCTCCTTTGTTTTCTCACAACTCTCCCAGGCTCTGAACCCAAGGGCCCACTGACAAGGCACAGCCCCACACACAGGGAGCCTAGAATGAAAGACTACTTTTCCCCTCACGCCCCCGCCTGCCCCACAAAGCTCTCTCCTTTGAGTTCTTTATTAAGTTCTTAGTGAAGATCATCTCTTCAGTTTTCTGACTCAAAAAGAAAAAGAAAGGGTAAAATAAAGTAAAAGGAAACCTTTATTATGTAAAGTATGGGAAAACAGAGTAGGAAAAAGGCAGCCTTACCCAGGAACTGTGGGAGCCAGGACGAGTCTGAAAAGACAGGAAGGGGCGCCAGGGCCTGAAGTGGAACAAAGGGGGGGCCGCACACAGTGGAGGGGCTCTGGGCAGCAGCTGGAACCCCGCACTTCTCCCTGCCTCCTCTCCTCTGTCTCTGCCTTTCATCTTACACACGTCTCCTGTCTCCTGCCTTGTCAGCCTGTTCACTCACTGAAAGCACGCCCCTGCCCCGCGCCAGGCCGCTCTGCAGGAAGGCTCTGGGGTGCGGGCTCGCTGGGCACAGGGAGAGCTCCTGAAGGCAGAGCAAGGCGCCATGGAGATGAGAGAGGGCTAGGAGCATGGGCAGTACGGAGGCAGGAAGGATGAGCCTGGGGACCAGGGTGCTGGGGCCCAGCGTGAGGGCAGGATGCTGATGCCAGGGAGACAGGGACGCAGCAGCGCAGAGCGGAAGGGGTCCTGCAGCTGGCAGGACAGGCGGGGCCGTGCCCAAAATGCCTCCCGAGCCAGGCTGATGAGCAGGAATCCTGTCACAGGGCCAGGAGAGTGTGGCAGCAACACAGACATGAGATGGGAGGAAGGGACGGGCCCGCAGGATATGGCAAGTGGAGGGGTGTGAATGGGACGCTGTGTGCTCTAGTCTGGAGACGTCAAGATGACCAGGGGAACAGCTACAGGCTACACTGTGGTCTCTGCCCACCGACGACCTGTCCCGGAGTGGCTGCATCTAGAATACAGACAGCCCTGCCCTCAACAGCACCACCCAGCAGCCTGTTTAAAAAACGAGCAAACAACTTGAATCGATGCTTCCCCCCAAAAGGTATACAAATGGCCAAGAGCACATGAAAAGATGATCAACATCACTGATCACTGGGGCTGTGGAGAAGCTGAAACCTGGTGCGACTGCTGAAGAAAATGGTGTGATGGGGCCTCAACAATCAAACACAAAATCACCACGTGACCCAATAGTCCGACTTCTGGGTATATATCAAAAAACCTGGAGGCGGATCTGAGAGGTATCTGACCCTCATATTCCCAGCAGCATTATTCACAACAGTCAACAGGTGCAGCAACCCAGTGTGCATGGACAGTGGTGGGTGGACGGGTGGAGAAGCACAATGTGGTGTACATACAAGGGACTGTTGTGTCACCTTGAGAGGCAAATTCTGACCCCTGCTACAACCTGGATGAATCGTAAGGACGTTATGCTACGTGAGATGAGCCAGTCACAGAAAGACACCCTGTATGGTTCCACTCGCATAAGGTCTCGGAGCAGCACGCCGACTGGTGGCTGCCGGGGCCGGGGGGCAGGAATGGGGGGCTGGTCAATGGTGCAGGGCTCATTTGCAAGATGGAGGGAGCTTTGCACACACGTGTGTACTCCACTGTACACTTAAAATGATTAAGATGGCAAATTTCATATTACAAATATTTTACCATGACTTAAAAACAAAACAGCAAAAAGCAAGTTAGCTCATGCCCACAACTCCAACAATGGCTGGCGTGTCTCCTTTTGGACCAAGTCCTTACCATGCTCTCCAAGGCCCGTGCGATGGCCACACCCCCACCATGCTGCCTCGCTCCTACCTCCACCCCTGCACGCACCACAGGGCCTCAGACATTGCAGCAGGGTCCTGCCTCGGGACCTCTGCACTTACCTTTCCCACTGCTGCTGACAAGCTCTTCCCTCGAAGACCCACAGGCCTCATGCCCTTACTTCTTCCACATTTTTTTAAATTCAAAGTTACCTTCTCAATGGGCTTCCCTGGCCACAGTCTAAAACCGTAAGCACATGCAAGCTTCCCGCCGCCCTTTCTCTCTCTCCCTCCACCCCCTCTCTCTCACACACACTTCTCTCTCTCACTCTCTCTCTCTCTCACACACCCACATACACACTCCTCTCTCATGCGCGTGCGCACACACACACACACTCCTCCTCTCTTTCTCTCTCTCTCTCTCTCTCTCTCTCTCTCTCTCTCTCTCTCCCTCTCTCTCTCACACACACACACTCTCCTCTCTCTCTCTCTCACACACACACACACACATTCTCCACTTCTTCACCTACTTTCTTTATGCCTCTAGTTACCCTCTCAGACACCCAGAATTTTGCATATTTCTAGTTTAACACGTCTCCCAGCAGATGTGCCTCCATGAAGGCAGGTATGTATGTCAGTTTTGTCTACTACTCTCTAACCACGAGAACAATGTGAGGCACACAACAGATGTTCAATTAATATCTGCTGAATGAACCACAAAGAAAGAACACGTGAACTCAGAGAGGCCAAGGCGGGGCACAATGTGGGGCTCACGAGCACTTAAGCAGAAGAGAGTGATGCCAGCAGATGAGTTCAGTCAAGGAGCACGAAGGATGAAGAGAGCCTGCCAATGGTCTGGGGCAGCGCTGCCCAGATGCCAACCACCCAGCCCACGGGGCTCCAGAGTTCCTCGGCTGAGCACTGCTGCTCCCAGCTGCCGAGGACGCGACAGCTGAAAAACACGCCACAGGCCATACCTGCCTAAGTTCAAACCCCAGGCTCACCACCTACAGGTGGGAGCCTCGAAGAGCCCATCTGTACAGTGGGGTGGAAACTCCCACGCCCCCGGGGCTGCTCAATTAAACGTGCTCTCGTTTGTATCAGCCTCAGAGCCAGGCTCAGCCTTGTTTGTTGGAGGTGCTTTGGGAAAAGAATGAAGAAAAGTAATGAATGACTGGTCCCTATCTATTCCTCTGCCACATCTATGCAAGCAGGCAGGCCCGACGCCTCTGAGGGACGCAGGCTGGCACAGTTCTCACTCTTAGCTGCATGCATGAAGCAAGTCTGTTCCAGCTGGTGAGTGTCAAACCAGCCACAGGTCAAAGGGCTGCAAAGCAGATCCCAGACCAAAACTTCTGCAGGACTCGGGGTGGCTGACTCCTTCCTTCCCACTCCTGCAGCAAGACTCAGGCCCCACCCCAGACTCACCCACCAAACCCCTGCCCACCAGAGGGGCAGGCTCCCCAATATCCCTTCCACACGGCCATCCACCTGGGTTAGAGCCAACAGCCACTATTCAGGGGACCCTCCACCTCCTACAGAGCGGATGGCTGTGAAGACGTGTTTGCTGCCCTGTTCAATCCGCATTCACTTTACAAAACTGGGCATGTGCAACACAGGGGTCAGGCCGTCACTCCTGAACTAAAAAGCTTAGCTCCAAAGAAGGTGCACACTCATCTCTCCAACCTCTGAATCCTTGTCCACGTTCTTATAACAAAGCTGGCCAATAACTGAACACCTGGGTGCAGCAGGCCCGGGCCAACCCAGTGAACTCATGCGTGAGGTGGGTCCTAGTCTTATCCCCAGCCTCTCCGTTGGAGAAACAGGCTCAAAGGCTGCTGGAATTTTCCGGAGTCACAGCTGGAAAGTGAAGGAGCCAGCACGCAAGACCAGGGCAGCAGGCCCACTCACAGCCTATCCAAGAGGCTCCCCCAGCCCCTAAAC